TCTGGGGGGATTTTGGGGATCCCGGGGGGGTTTGAGGATGCAGGGGAAACTCTGGGGGGGGGGGTTTGGGGTGCCCCACCTGCGCGAAGGTGGCGGCCAGGTCGCGGGCGTGGCCGAAGGGGTCGATCTGCCAGGCCACCCGGGGGGTCCCGCAGTGGCCAAAGAGGCGGCGCAGGAATCGCCGGCCCAGGGCCAGCTGCTCCAGGGCCCCCCCGTAGTGAGCAGTGGCCTCGTCACTCATGCACCAGCCCCCCCCGACGAACTCCAGCCGGCCTGGGGAGGGGAGGAGAGCACCCCAAAATCCCTCAGGGGACACCCCAAATCCCCTCAGGGGACACCCCAAAATCCCCTCAGGGGACACCCCAAATCCCCTCAAGGGACACCCCAAAACCCCTCAAGGGACACCCCAAAATCCCTCAGGGGACACCCCAAATCCCCTCTTGGTTCAACCTCCCCCACCCCCAGTCTCGGTGAGCCCCCCACGGTCACAGAGAGCCCAGACCCCCACCCCAGTGTCCCCCAGTCCCTCCCAGTGCCCCCCAGTCCCTCCGTACCCTCCTGCACCAGCTGCCTGACCAGCCTCCGCGTGGCCTCGTCCTGCTGTGGCCACCAACGCGCCAGGAAGGCAACCTCGGCGTAGATGAAGCGCCGGGAGGGGTCGGCGGCCAGCTCGGCCACCACCGAGTCCAGGATGTACTGGACCCCCGCGTGCTGGTCCTGGTTCCGCACTGGGGGCACGGGGGGCACCGGGTCACCCCAAAAGCCCCGTGGGGAGGGGACATTCGGGGCTGGGGACACGGTGGCACCTTGAGGACATCGGTAGGTAGCCCCGGGGGGGGGTTTGGGGGGTGCTGGCCCCCAAGGGGACAGTGGGGACACAGCGAGTGGCACGTGACAAACCCAGGGTGACAAGGGGCAGCCACGGGGGCCACCGGCGTCACTCGGTGCTCCTTGGCCTCCCTGCCACGTCACCCCCACCATCCCCCCAACAGGTGTGCCTCCTTCAGGTGACACCACTCCCACCTGGGGACGTCCCCTCCCCCCCGGTAGCCTCCGTGTCCCCGGGGGTCCCCGGGGGTCCCCACGCACCCCCATAGTAGTACTGGTCCACCGTCTTCAGCCACCCCACGTCGTCGTGCGTGTGCGGCACCAGGTGCACGTTCAGCATGTCCGGCCGGGTCGGGGGACACGACTGGGGGGGTTCGGGGGGGCGTCGGACCGGGCCGGGACCCCCGGAACCCCCCTCCGCCGCTGCCCCGCGGTGGCCGTTGGGCTCCGGAAGCTGTTGCAAAACCAGTGTGGCCCCAGTTCCCTTTTCCTCAGTGCCCCCAGTCCACCCCAGTTCTTCCAGTTCCCCTTTCCCCAAATCGCTCCGGTGTCCCCTAAGCCCTTCCCGGTGTCCCCAGCCTATCCCAGTTCCCGTTATCGAGGATACCGCGGAGCCCCCCCGCCTGCCCCAGTGTCCCCAGGCAGTCTCAGTACTCCGAGCGTCCCTAATCCCGGTATCCCAGGTCCCACCTGGTACCCGCAGCCCGCGGCCGCCCCGAGCAGGAACAGCAGCGGCAGCGCCGCCGCCCCGGGCACCGCCATGACACCCGCGGTCATGTGAGCGCCCCCTCACATGACACGCGGGCTCAGCCCGGCTCGCCCCGCCCCGCACCCGCACCAACCAATGGGCGATCAGGAAAAGGCGCTGCGGCCACGCCTCGCGCTCTGATTCGCTGCTGCTGCCCTGAGGGGCGGAGCGTAAGGGAACTACACGGGGTGGGAGGAAGGAACGACAACAAGCAGGAGCCAATGAGGAGGAGGAGCGTCCGTGATTGACAGCTCGTTGGGAGGGCACTTGCAACGGCGGGAAACGACCAGCGGCCAATGAACGGTGGCGGCTCTCGAGGCCCCGTCCACGACGAGATCTCCTCAGAGCCCCCGACTCCCCTCAGAGTCCCCTCAGTGCGCCTCAGAGTCCCCTCAGAACGCCTGGCTCCCCTCAGAGCCCCCTCAGAATTCACTCAGACCTCCCGACTCCCCTCACAGCTCCTCAAACCGCCCGACTCCCCTCAGAGATCCCTCAGAGTTCACTCAGAGCACCTCAAACCACCCGAGTCCCCTCAGAGCCCCCTCAGACCGCTTGACTGCCCTCAGAACACCTGACTCCCCTCAGAGCTCCCCAGAGGCCCCTCAGACCATCAGAGTCCTCTCAGAGCCCCTCACACTGCCCGAATCCCCCACAGAGCCCCCCGAGCCCCCTCAGAGCCCCCCAGGACCGTCCCCTCCCCGTCCCTCCCTGTCCTGGGGGTCTCGCCCGTCCCCTGTTCAGGTGCACACAAACCACAGCAGTGCCAGGACCCCCCTTTATTGCCCCCTGAGGGACCCCCCCCGTCCTCGTCACCACGGCGGGGACATGGGCTGGGGGTTCTGCAGGTAGGACATGACCACGGCCGAGATGGAGAGCCTGCGAGGGGCACACACAAGGGTCAGAGACCCCCGAAAATGAGACAAATGAGACCCCCCGGGACCCTCCCGGCACTCACATGAAGCTGCTCATCATCTGCTTGGTGTCCTCGGAGCTGCGCGAGTTGGCGAAGCTGATGAAGGAGCAGTAAACGGCGATCCAGGCACACCACTTGAGCTGGGGAGGGCCGGGACAGGGCCGTGAGACCCCCGGGATGGGCAGGAGAACCCCGGGACAGCCCCATGAGACCCCCGGGGCTCTCTCCGGTCCTTCCCGCTCCGAATTCCCCTCAGAACGCCCGGGGCCGCTCCCGGTGCCCCCGCGCCCACCTTGAGCATGAGCCCGCACATGCTGAACACCATCCCCAGCAGGTTCATGTAGTCGGGGGTCGGGTCCTCCAGCGCCGGGTTGGTCTCGGTGGCCGGGGGCTTGTACCTGGCGGGGGGAAGGGGGCTCGGTAATGCGGGACGGGGCACCGGGACCCCGCGGCTGCCCCGGGTCTCTGCCCGGTCCCGCTCCCGGTCTCGCCGGCTCTGTCCCCGCTGCCCGCGGTCTCACCGCGCCACTTTGCCGGGTCTCCGTGGGTCCGCCATGGCCCCACCGCCTCTTCCGCCGCCGCCGCCGGAAGGGGCCCGGCCCCATCCCCGGTCCCGCCTCCGGCCCCGTCCCCGGTGCCGGTTCCGGTCCCGCCATGGCGTTCCCGAGGCCCCGGCCCGCCCGGCCCGAGCTGCCCCGGCAGCGGGTGCAGACCCTGCAGTGCGGGCAGGGAGCGGTGCGGGCCGCCCGCTTCAACGGTGAGAGCGGCGACAACCGGGGGGACCGGGGAGGAACGGGGGGGAAACAGGACATGGGGGCAGAGATCGGGACACGGCGATGAAGGTTGGGAACCGGGAGGGGGTGACGGTGTGGGGGTCCCGGGGATCTCCCCGTGTCCCGGGTGGGGGTCCCGGGGATCTCCCCGTGTCCCGGGCGGGGGTCCCGGGGATCTCCCCGTGTCCCGGGCGGGGGTCCCGGGGATCTCCCCGTGTCCCGGGTGGGGGTCCCGGGGATCACGCCCGTTCACCCCCGCAGCGGACGGGAATTACTGCCTGACGTGCGGCAGCGACAAGACGCTGAAGCTCTGGAACCCGCACAAGGGCACGGCCCTGCGCACCTACCAGGGCCACGGCTACGAGGTGCTGGACGCCGCGGGGTAAGGGGGGGTTTGGGGACCCCTCCCCGCCTTGGGGAGACCCCGCCGCGCTCACGGGACCCCCCCGCGCCCCCGCAGATCCTTCGACAACAGCCAGATCTGCTCCGGCGGCGCCGACAAGGCCGTGGCTCTCTGGGACGTGACCACGGGGCAGGTGGTCCGCAAGTACCGGGGACACGCCGGGGTGAGGAGGGGCCGGTTTGGGGTTTGGGGAGGGGGATTTGGGATCCCCCAAATGGATCGGGACACTGACTCGCCGCTCCTCCCACAGAAGGTGAACTGCGTCCAGTTCAACGCGGAAGCCACTGTCATCGTGTCTGGTGAGGGAGCGGTTTGGGGAAAAAAAAAAAATGCTCCGGGACAGTCCTGTACCCCCTTTTCCCATCCTGGTCCCCCTTTTTTTCCTCCCCTGGACGCCCCTTTCCCCCCCTAGGCTCCATCGACTCCACGGTGCGGTGCTGGGACTGCCGCTCGCGCCGCCCTGACCCCATCCAGGTGCTGGACGAGGCCAAGGACGGCATCTCCAGCGTGAAGCTCTCGGCCCACGAGATCCTGACGGGGTGAGGGACGAGCCCCCCCGGCACCGGGGCACCCCCAGGAGCGGGGACCCCCTAAACCTCCCCCCTCCCCGCAGCTCCGTGGACGGGCGGGTGCGGCGCTACGACCTCCGCACGGGGCAGCTCTTCTCCGACTACATCGGCAGTGAGTGGGGCCTGGGGGGGAACCCGGGGGGTGCCCCAAAGCTGGGGGGGCTCCGCGGGACCCCCTAGAGTGCCCCCCGTGTGCCCCCAGGCCCCATCACCAGCGTGTGCTTCAGCAAGGACGGGCAGTGTGTGCTGGCAGCCAGCCTGGACTCCACGCTGCGGCTGCTGGACAAGGACACCGGCGAGCTGCTGGGCGAGTACGGGCGCTCCCCCCCGAGCCCCTGAGCTCTCCGGGGCTTTGGGGGGACCCCCGGCTGAGCCCCTGCCCCCTCCCCAGGTACACGGGGCACCGCAGCACGACGTACAGGCTGGACTGCGTCCTGAACGAGCAGGACACACACGTGGGCTGCGCCTCCGAGGACGGCCACGTCTACTTCTGGGACCTGCTGGAGGTGAGGGAGGGTCCCGGGAGGGGGTTTGGGGACACTCCCGACCCTCCCTGACCCCCGGTGTCCCCCCAGGGTTCGCTGGCTCTCAGCTTGCCCGTGGGCCAGGGCGTGGTGCAGTCACTGGCCTTCCACCCGCGCCTGCCCTGCCTGCTGGTGGCCACCCAGGGCCAGGTGACGCTGTGGCGAGAGGACACCTTCCAGCCCGAGGGGGACCCCGACACCTGAGTGACTCATGGAATAAAACCCCAAAGGAGACCCTGCCGTGCTTTATTGGGAGCTCGAATAAATAAACACAAGGGGGGCGCACGGACAGGGGGATGCAGGGGTCCAGGGGGACTCGCCCCACTGCCCCCCACACTGTGGGGAGCCCCTGCAGAGCTGGGGGGGCTCAGCACGCCCAGAGCTGAGCCCGGGGGGGGGTCCCTCAGGCCTCGGGGGTCCCTGCGGGCGCCGCGAAGGCGTCGGCGCTCCGGGCGAACGTCTCGGCCACGAGCAGCGGGAACACGAGCGAGGCGTCGGCGTAGACCTGGCACGGGCTAGAGAGTCAGGGGGAAAACCCCCACCGGGGGCTCCCCAAATCCCCTCCCCTCAGCCCCCTCACCTTGACGGGCGTGGCATCCATGCGGATCTTGCCCCAGGACACGGCCTCGTCCGGCCGCGCGCCCGAGTCGGAGCCGTCGAACTCCTGCGCCGTGTTCACGTAGACGGAGAAATCGGCGCCGTTCCTCTGCCGGGGCAGACACCGGGGTGAGCCCCCAGCCCCTCCCCGAGCCCCCTCCCCGGCACCCCGGGCTCCCTCACCATCAGGTTGGCGTTGGCGATGTGGTGCTTGACCAGGCCCCCGCCCAGGATGATCATGCCGGTCTTGTGGGCGAAGATGGCCTGGGTGTTGATGAGGCGCAGGTCTGCGGGCACAGGGCGGTCAGGGCACCCCCAAATCCCGTGGGGCACCCCCGGGAGTCCCTAAGGGAGGAATGCTCACCCTCCACGATGTCCAGCACGAGCCCCGGGCGTTTGTAGGAGTGGAAGAAGATCATGTCCCCCAGGGAGCCGTCGGTGAGCGCCGGGCTCAGCACCGGGATGTTGTTCTGTGAGGGGGGACACGGTGACAGCCGGTGGCACCCACAGTGACACCCCCCTGGTGCCCCCCCAGTGCCCCCAGTACCTTCTGGGCCCAGTAGCAGATGGACTCGGGGTTGTTGATCTCCTTGCCCAGCCGGGCAATCATCCGGGACGGCGTCCACCGCACACCCTGGGGGGACCCGGCTCAGGAACCCTGGCCAGGGGGGCATGGGGACCCCCAGACCCCTGCCCCAGGCATCCAGGGACCCCCAAACCCCGCCCCAGAGGGGGGCATGGGGACCCCCAGACCCCTGCCCCAGGCATCCAGGGACCCCCAAACCCCGCCCCAGGTGTCCAGTGACCCCCGAAGGTCCCCTTCCAGCACTGCAGAGTCCCCTCCCTCACCTGCGTGTCCTGCTCATCCACCATCTGCCCCAGGATGGGCATCAGCCAGTCCTCGAACTTGCAGTAGTTGTCGTTGGGCACCAGCAGGTTCCCGATCCTGAGGGACCCCAAGACGACCCCGAGGTGACCCCGAGGTGGCCCCGAGGTGGCCCCAGCCCCCCACGCTCACCCCCAGACCTGTTAATGCCGTTCTCCCGCAGGTCCCGGCCCCGCAGGTGGAAGTCCCCGATGTAGGTGGGCGCCAGGCACTTGATCAGGTCCTCCTCGACGCCCCCGGCCGTGGTCACCAGCACGTCCACCTGCCCGGGGGGTGTCAGCACCTCAGGGACACCCGGATGTGACCCCCCCGCACCCCCTGGAACCCCATAGGGACTCCTGGGGACACCCCAAGGGCGACCTGAGAGCTCCTGGCAATGGGGCGGGGGGGGACAGCAGGACCCCGTGACCGCCTGAGGTGCCCCATGTCCCCACGCCGTTGTCACTGTCCCCACACCATTCCCAAGCGTCCCACACCACCCCCAGTGTTCCCACGCCATTCCGGGGCGTCCCCACGCTGTCCCCCTGTCCCCTGTCACCATGCCGTGCTGCACGAGGTATCGGATGCTCTCCCTGACGCCGGAGCTGACGAGGTTGGAGGTGAAGCCCAGGAAAATGGTGCAGCCCGAGGGCGGCCGCGGCCCGGCCATGGCCGCTCGGTCCCGCTGCTCCGCGCTCAGCGGCTCCAGCTTGGCCGCGATCTGCGGGGACACCGGGAGGGGTCACACCGGGCCCGGACCCCCCCTCACCCTCCCGGTGTGGCCCCCACCTCGGGCCTCACCATCCGCTCGATCTCGGCCACCGCCTGCGCGAAGCTCGTGGCTTGGAAGCCGGTGGTGCGGAAGGAGCGGAGCAGTGCCGCGTGGTCCACGCCGCCCGAGAAGTCGTAGCCGCGCACCGGGAGGGCCTCGGCCGGGAGGGCCCCGCTGGGCCGCAGCACGGCCCGGAGCGCCTCTCCCGGCGCCTCTCCCGGGGCTGCCATGGCTCGGCCAGGCAGCTCAGGGCGCCGCCATTTTGGACCGCGCCCCCCGCGTCGTAACGCGCGCCGCCATCTTGGCAGGACGGTGGCCGTGGAGGGACCAGAATCTCGCAGACGCGAAAAGGAGACGTTGAACAGAGGGAGCCCCGAACCCGCCCCAATTCGCCCCAAACCCGCGGGAGGACACAGGCTCCAGTAAAATCCTTTAATACCCATAAACAGGCGGCACCTTCCAGCCCCACCCACGGCCCGGATGCGGACCCGGCTCCCCGAAACGAGGGGCGCAGCGGGGACTCCGCGGGGCGCGGCCGGAGCCTCCCCGGCGGCGTCAGGTCCGGAGCCTCCACACCTCGACCGAGAGTCCCCCCGAGGCCGCGGCCACCACGTCCCCATCCACGCTGATCTGGGGGAGGCAGAGGAGGGTCAGAAGGGCTCGGGGGGCATCCAGGGGGGTGCTGCGTGTGCAAGGGCCGGGGACAGCCCCTCACCCCGTTGAGGACATCGTCGTGTGTCCAGGAGCAGATGGTGCGAGGGGGATCTGTGGGGACGTGGATCTGCAGGAGAGGCAAAGTTGGGGGTCAGCAGCCCCCCCCCCCTCAGCCCAGCCAGGAACTCCTCGGCCCCCTCAGGGCCTCCCTCAGCCCAACCCCGCGGGACCGAGCCCCGGGGACCCCCACCCTCAGCGTCCTGTCCGTGGATGTGGTGTAGAGGGAGCCCACCGAGTGCCAGAGCCCCGTGATCTGCAGCCGGTGCCCCACGTCGAAATACTGCGGAGGGACAGAAAGCCCCGGTGAGGCCCGGGGAGGGTCACAGCCCCACCGGGACCCACCCAGAACCCCCCGAAGCCCCTACCCGGGCGGGCTGGAAGCCGCTGCCGCTGCTGCCGAACAGGTACACGCGGCCCTGGTTGTCCCCAGCCCAGAGCTGCGAGCCCCGGTAGGACATGGAGAGCAGGTAATTGTCCAGCTGTGGAGGACACATCTGGAATGTCACCGTGGCGGGGACTGGGAGCCTCCGAGGAAGGGTGTGGGGCACAGCCCTCACCTGCAGCCGCTGCAGGACGGCACCGGCGCGGCGATCGAACACCACAAGGGTGCGGTCCTCGCTTCCGGACACGATCAGCCGCTCGTCGGCCGCCAGCGACAGCACCGCGCTGGCGTGGGGCTTGTAGCTGCTCACCTGGGCCTGCCCGGCTGGGGAGGGGGAGCGCTGAGGGGGTCAGGGCAATCCCCCCCCCCCAGAGCCTCAGCCTGCCCAAATTCCCCCTCCGTACCTCGCGGGTCGTACACGGTCACCGTCTTGTCGTAGGTGCCAGTCACGAGCACGTCGGGGCGGTACGAAAGGCACAGCACGGCCGCCTTCTCCCTGGGGGAGCGGGGGCTCAGTGGGACCCCCACCCCGGGCCGCCCCCAGCCCCTCCTCAGTCCCCCCGGGCCGTACCTGATCTCCCCGAACTGCTGCCCCTCGGCTGCCAGGTCCCAGAGCTTCACGGTGCTGTCCCAGGAGCCCGAGCACACGCGGCTGTCGCGGGCGGCCAAGCACCAGACCCAGCCCTGGGGGGACCCAGAGGCGCTGCCGGACCCGAACCCAGCCCGGGACCCCCCCGAAGAGAGGGGTTTTGGGGAGGGGGGGGTGGCTCAGATCCCCACCTTGTGGGTCCCGCTGCGCCCCGAGCCCAGCGCCTTCACCAGAACCTTCCCGGGGGGGCCCCGGCCCAGCTCCCTCAGGTCCCACAGGTTCACGTTGCGGTCGCGACCCCCCGAGACGCACAGGGACCCCCCCTGGGGACAAGGAGGGGGCACAGCTGAGCTGGGGACCCTCCTGGAGACCCCGGGGAAACCCCCCCCGGGCCCCGCGGGTCCCACCTGCAGCAGGAGGACGGAGTCGACGGAGGCGAAGTGCCCCTCATCCAGCGAGAAATGCTCCATGGGGGCCCCCCCGGCCCCCCAGCGCTCCAGGTGCTCCTCCAGGTCCTCGCAGGCGGCCGCCCAGTCGAACCCATCCTCTGGAGGGGACACCAAAATCACTGGGGAGGTCCCCAAGCCTGTCCCAGTGAACCCTCAGAAGCACAGGGGTGGAAATCCAACAAAATGCCAAGGTTCGGGGGGAGCCATGAGGGTCCCTCAAGTCCCGAGTGACCCCTCAGTGGGGTCCCCGATGCACCTGGGGGTGTCAAGGAGGCTCCCGAAGCCACTCCCCAAAGAGTTCCCCGAGCCGGAGCAGGGTGGGGGGCGCGGGGGGCAGCGAGGGGTCCCCAGCAGGACCCAATTTCCCCAGCGAGCTCCGCCCCGGGACGGTCCCGTCACCCCCAGACCCACCTGGCAGCACGGGGAGGGGGCGGCGGGCGCGGCTCTGCAGCCGGAGCCGCCAGGCCACGGCGTCGCGGGCCAGGTCCCGCAGGGCGCGGCAGACGCGGGGCAGCACCCGCCGCACGTCCCGGGCCCGCAGGAAGCCGCAGATCCGCAGCAGCAGCTCCGGCGGCAGAGCCAGCAGCCCCCCCGCGCCCACCGCCGGCCCGGAGGGCTCCGAGGGAGAGGCGGTGGCGGGCGCGGGGGGCCCATCCATGGCTGCGGAGGGGGCGGCGGGTCAGCACCGAGCGCGGTCCCGGAGAACCGGGATCCGCCCAAACCGACAGCGCCCTCCCAGAATCCCCGGTACCGGGAAGTCCTCATTCAGCTCTTCCCGGTACCGGGACCCTCCCAAACATCATTCTCCCTCTCCCGATCTCCCGCTCGCCGCCCCCCCCCCCGGTATCGGGTCCCGGCCCGGTCCGGCCCGGCCGCGTCCCGTCTCCACGGCCACGGCGGGAGCCACTTCCGGGGCGACCCACGAATCAGCCAACGGCGTTGTGCGCTTTCAGTGACGTCATCAAGCGGCACCGGAAGAGGGCCACGTGCAGCCGTGGCGGCGCCGTGGCGGCTCCGGGACCGCCGCAGACACCCCCGCCCCGTTCC